GTGAATGTCTATAGGTAAAGTTAATTAATTTTTACCGCTCTGTGGCTTTTGATGTATATTATACCATGTTTTACTTACTAAATCCGTCCCGTTTTACTATTGATTGACAGTTGGATTGTACCCAGTTTTTGTTTTTTTGCTATTATAAAAAATTCTATAAATGTCCTCCTCCGGCGGCCAAGAATAATCTTGCCCGTGATTTAAAAATTTTCCTTATGCACAAACTACCAAGCTTTCCTACTACGCACAGTCGATATGATGAAACAAGGTCGTGTGCGGTGTTTCCAGCGACAGGCTCCAGTCATTACGCCGAATCGACGCTCGCGAGTTCGCATTAGTCACATGGGTTTTGCACAGAGACCCAGCCTCTAGTCTATGAAAGGACCCTGGAGAGTTGGAGGCGATGTGTTGAGAAGAGCATAATAGGCCTTTCCTCACATAGTTTCATAAAATTGTGTTGATGTGCAGAACAACTGTCTTGTTAGTAGGGCTTCCCGTAACAAATAGCGTCCTGCAGATGAGCAGAATTACAAAGTGTAAACATCCCATGAGAGAGTAGAATGTCTTTTCTTCATTACCACTTTCCTGTTTTTTGGCCGCGATTATAATTTGCCGCTAAGTGGCAAAAACAGTGTAAGATCTTGCAGTCACAGCACATTATCCCTAACTAATGTATAAATTCAGAATGACCTCTACATACGTAGCTATAAATACCCAACTTAGGCCTATAGAACAATTCCAGGCAATGATTCAAACTAACCTAATCAGCTGCGCGTGTTATACCAACATCACAGCATCTTTTTTCCTGGAGGAAGAATATATACTATCCAAAACACTCCACCGATGCCCTCACCAGGCTAAAACAAACGAAACCAAAGCAGACCAATTTACTGATACTAAGTAAAAAGACGAATATTATTTGTGGTCAAGGAAAATCAAGAAAGGGAGGTCTGGGACCAGTGAACATGGAGTTTTGGTTCTCAGTAGATGTACTGTATTCACAAGCTTTATGCACAGGTGAAGACTCCCTTGTCCAGAGCCCCTTGTCTCTACAGTCTGTTTGACTTTCCAGCTCTGTTCTGGGTAAAGTGGGTCATGTCAGGTTCAACTTGAGTGGAAACCTTGAGACCCCGAGACGTCAATGTTAGAGTTATTTTATCCAGTCCCAAGAATGGTTGATGGCAGCGTCTGTTTATTTAATTATCTTCGTCATTAATTTCCACCAGAAGCAGAATATGCATCATGTTTAACAAGCAAATTCACTTTATCCAATTCATGCTCTGTAATTCACAGAAACCAATACCCCATGTGCTGAGACCCTCCCTAACCAGTTCTTCTTCCCCTTGGGTTTCTCCCGATGGAGGGACCAATTGTAAATTCCCATTTACCGTCCGATCAGTCACATGCTTTCCCATAAAGACGGACGAGGACATCTGGCAGTTACAGTTAGGGTGGCCGTATGATTTATTGTGCAAGCCAGGACACTTTAGCCAATGAAGGAGATGATCT